TCATTTTTTTATTTGTAACTTTATAATTAGTTAATACACATATTTATTCATAATAAAACTTATATATATTTAATTATTTTTATTTCCTTCTTCGTAAAATATTTATTTTAATTTCTTTTCACTTTAAACTTTGTTTAATTACTTTATTATCTTTTCACTTTTAATTATTTTTAATAAATTATGTGTATTTTTTTTTAAATAATTTAAAAGTGTAATTTTATTTTTTTATTTTTTTTATGTTTTATTTGAGTTTCTTCACTTATTTTGATATCCGTTCAAAATTAACTTATTTTAAATACAAGACATTTGAAATCAAATCAAAACGAAAGTCAAAAAAATAAAATCAATAAAAAAATAAAAGAGAAAAAAAAATGAATGTAAGTAAAAAAAAAGTTCGAATAAGGTAAGAAAATGTGTATTAACTTAATTTAAATATGAGATAAAAAATAAGAATATTTAAAAAAAAAAAAATTAAGAAAAATATTTTAATTTTAAAAAATATATATTTACACACATGGCGGACGAGTGTGTACAAACACAACCAACTTGGGTGGTTGAAGGTACCACATTAGCACAAAAGGTGCACAAAAATATGAAAAAAATGAGTACATGGGTAATAGGATCTTCGTTAAGTTTAGGTGTGTCTCTGAGATTTCGATCATAATCTAGGGGATACCAATGCCTTATTCCTTTTTTTAAAAAAAAATTATTGTGTAAGTTTTTAGAAGAAATTTGAACAATTATGTCTTAAACAAAATTGATCAATATAGTTATTGAATTAACCCACCCCAACAAACATGCATCTAAATTTGCTTTATTATTTTTTTTAAAAATCGCATGCCTTTAAAGATTATCTTATCTATTTTTTTGAACCTTCCAAACATGATTCACATACTACCAAAATGACAAACAAAATCAATTTCTCCACTATTTAGTAAAAAAAATGATTTGGGATCGAGTTTGAATAAAGAATATCAATTTTTTTTCTTAGTTAAGTCAAGTCTAAAAAGGTAAAAAAGAATTTAAAAACAATTTCAAAACTTTTCTAATTCAGTTATTAATCAAAAAGAATAAATATATTAGATAAAAACAATTAATTTAACAATAAAAAAAATTACATTTTTTTTTTTTTAATGAAATTATATTCACTCTAAATCACAAAATTTTGACGTATATTAATCATCCACGAAGGAGAGTTCTTGTAGTACTTAATTTGGAAGAAAGTAAGAAAAACACTTTCAGAGATTCTTTGTTTCTTCTACGCAACTCTTTATAATGACTACCACGGCGGCGCAGATTCCCGAAAACCCTATCAAAACCCTAGTTCAGTCACCGGATCCGAATCCGAATCCCACCGCCGTTTCCGAATCTCCGAGTCATGAGTCCGCAACTGACTCATTGAAATCGCCACTGTCTGATGGAGCCAAGGACCAAGTGAAGTTGGATACGGCGGCGGATGGCGGCGGCGGTAAGGATACTGATATACAGAAAAAGATGAAGCGAGCAGAGAGGTTTGGAATGACGGTTCAGCTTTCGGAAGAGGAGAAGCGAAACACTCGAGCTGAGAGGTACTTTTTGTAGTTAAATTTTGTTGCTTGCATGTTTTAGGATTTGGTATTTGGCTTTAAAACGAATAGTATTACTTCAAAAATGAGAAATTATTTACCTTTGTCGGAATCCGGAGCAAATATAGATGATTCGTTTTAGTTTGGGGGAGGTTGCAAGTATCCCACTTGATTAGTCTAGGTGCGTGCAAGCTGACTGGACACCACTGGGCTTGAACATAGTGTGTGTGAGTTTGTATAGCTGATTCATGCTTGTTTGGGATTGAGGCGCAGTTGATTGGTTGCTAAAGGTTGAATTCCAGTCTGAGAGGGCACATTAGCTGGACTCCTTGTTTAGGTTCCTAGACATTGAGGGGGAGTTGACTGGTTGGTAAGGCTTAGTGCTTTGTTCTAGTTGTGTACTTGTGTTTATTTCCACAATTTGCTAGGCATAGTAGCTGAACACTAAGTTTAGGTTCCTAGACAGTGATGTTGGGCATATCCTTTGCTTTACATTTACAGCCATAGAAACAATTATTGAAAGCTATCTTCTTTTGAAGTGTTGGTGGATTTTGTGTCACATTATCATAATAAAGAAGCAGCAGTCCTGATTTTATATGAATTACAAGAATAACTACTTAATCGTGCCATAAAGGGGTCACACCATCACACTCCAAACAGCACCATAACTCGTACTGGGAACGCAGTTCAAATTGCCCTTTGTTTTTCTTGTCTAGTGAGGTATATTAGAAGCATAGTATTGTGTAAGCTGAAATGGGTGTGTGTCACCCGAGCAGAATGGATTAAAGCAGCTAACCGTGCATTCCCTTCATTTCTTAGTAGAGGCTTGAAAGTTGAAAGGCTTAATAATATCTTTTGGATTTATGGATCCTTTATATAAACTATTGTTGGAGTTCAAAAAATTTCCAGCATGGAAATCCTCAACTTTTCATCTTTCTTTCCAGCTTCCGTACAGTTGATCTTCAAGCCATACATAGTCCAGCAAACATATCTTGTGTTTGTTGTGAAATGGGATACCCAATAGCCGGCCGCAGACATTTAATTCATATGAGGATCTATCTTTAAGTTGTTCTTACCCCCTTTTGTTGGACTGTTTTGTGTCAGGTTTGGCACATCTGCACCTCAGGGTTCAGATGCTTCAAAGAAAGCGGAAGAGCAGAAGAGGAAAGCTAGGGCTGAGAGGTATGTGTACTATCTATTTGGCCTACTGCCAGCTGGGTAGTTTACTTGTTTATGTGTTTGTTGATAGATTTTGGTTCTGTCAGGTTTGGGCTTAGCCAATCTAATAGTACTGATGAGGAAGCTAAGAAGAAAGCTAGGCTGGCAAGGTTTGCACCTCCTGCGAAGGCTGATCCTGTGGAGGAAGATAAAAGGAAAGCTAGGGCCCTCAGGTTACGATGAGACCTTTTCACCTTTTTCTTTATGTCAGCTGAGGGTCTAAAATATTTCGGCGTCAAATTGGTTTATGACTTTGACTGATGGTGTTATTTGACAGGTTTTCACAGTCCCAGTCTGGTTCCCAATCACAAGAGAACGGCAAAGAAAAAACTGAGCAGGTTTCATTTTCTATACACTATAAGTGAAGTTTGTGATTTGAAATGAATTTGAAAAAAGCAGCAGTCAGTATGTGTTCGCTTTGAATTTTTATGTGATCATATGTGCACTATCCATGTGTTGCATTACCTAACTTTTACTAGTACAACTTTCTATTAACGATTGCATGTATTCTTAACTCAGGAGACTGTTGAGGTGGAGAAGGCTGGAGGAGGAACATGAACCATTCTCAAACTTCCTTCAACAGCAAGAGTTACTTATGATGTATAGTTTATTGTTGCTGCGGAATGGTTAGGAGTTCTGTTAAAAGTGACTTTAAATTCCCTAAGTTTTTGTTTTAGTCGTTTTTTGGAGTTCCTTGTTTAGTTTGATAGGTTAGAAGTCTTGACATTTGCAAGTTCCCTAGTAGCAGGACCATCCTTCAAAATGGGGAAAATGGCTTTTGTCGTCTCCTAGGTTAGCCAGTAGTGCTAGGATACATGGACCACAACCTCCTTAGTGTGTTATTCTGTCAGAAGTGACGACCCATAACCAATATTTGAAATCAACTTTTAAAAAAAAAAACTTATCTGAAACGATGAAACTACAACCTCAGTATTTCCTACTTGAAACCTTTGTTTTGACAACTTCATCATCGGGCTTTCCTTTATCAATCTGCAACTGTTCTTTCACATTCTTGTGTTTTTTCCTTTCACCTAAAAGAGAAAATGGTGCATATCAAGGATCTACTGATGATATCATTTATGATTTCTCCAAGTGCTCAATGTAGTACTGCAGATACTTGATCTTAGATGTCCACTCTTGTTGGGATAGGTATTGCACTGTTTTGTTTATATCCGGATAGTCCTTCATGACTTGTCAGTAGAAAGTTAATAGATTTTGCAATATTAGAAGATAAGTGGTCACCTTTTATGACATCCTGGAGGCATCATATATTAATTCTAGTTTGGTCAGATTGTTAGTGATATTCTTAGTTTGGCCTTGCAAGTAGGAAAGGTAAGACTAGTGTTTTATTGCATTCATGGATCTCCTGAATGATACCAAGGGCCTTAAATTTTGTTCAAGAAGAACCACCACTTGATTGTGCTACATCTTTGCAGAGTTTTGAAATTCAGAAAAGGTTTTACTGTAACATTGCTGCCCATATGATGATGAAGTTATCAAATCCATATTTCTATAATATTTTAGCTGGTGCGCTTGGGGTTTATTTACAAGGTCACTATTTCAGATTTTGATGTTGTGGGTCATATGCAACAGATTAACAGTAAGGAGGTGTGGTCAAGTACCTAGGTATCTGGGTGAATCCCGTAGGCTGTAGTCAGATGTCGGCGTTAGTATAGGACTACCTTTGAAGGCAGTTGCTTGCTATTTTGTTCTTGGTTATTGAAGCTCAGTAGCAAGTGGTAGTACTTTGGTTACTTGAATTGTAATGACAGTAAATTTGTTGGTGACAATCTGATTTCGCACTCTACTAATGTTCATTGCGCTTGTGGTGACTTATTTTATTTACATCTATATGAATTTTCAGGCCAAAATTTGAGGTTTTTGTTTGTTTTTCTAAAATTGTCTCCTAAATTTAAAGTATTGGGATATTTGTTACCTTGGAAACATATTTTGGACAAAAATAGTGTGTACAGCTTATACTCATAAATAAATTATTGTATCACGTAATTGTCCCAATAAATGAGTCAGGGATATATGTCATTGTCTACATTTATTTTACAAATTATTATAGAGAACTTGTCTAACCAATTATAATAAACAAGCAATTGGGGCACATGAGGTATAATTGTGTTTTTAATTTCAATCGTTGAATTTGAAACTCTGAACGAAATTATTTACTATATGATAGAGGACTGCGAAATTTAAGTCAAGTTAGTATTTGGCGAAACAACAATTTTTCAAATTTACAAATTGTGAAATCTGCAGAACATAACGAAAGTATTCTTCCTTGTAATGGTTGTTCCACTTCTTTTCGAGTCTATTGCTGTTCTCACAAAGTATCTCGTGTACATCTTTTCGTTACATTGTTCAGCAAGGAACGATTAATTGATAATCGAGGAAGATAAAAGTATATTACAAGCCTAAAACCATAAAGAAACCGGAGAAAAGAAGCAAGAAATTCGAGGCGTCCAAAAGACGAGCTCTTTTTCTTCGAGGGAATCTGTTAAGTCTTGGGATCTATCGTTTGGGAGAGGCAGGCATACCACCTCCTCTAATGGAAAGTATCGGAATGTGAGACGAGCTTCTATTCATGGAATAAAGATCCAGAAACACAACAACAACCGAGATATCATCGTGGAAATGCCTCCTTACACCTCGATCGATCTTCTTCAGGTCTGAATATCTCATTTCTCTTTTCTTAGCTGCTACTCGGAGAGCAGCTTTGATTAATCTCCGGGCGATCCCCTGGTCCAAGAGAAAGAAAAAACACACACCCGAGTTAACAATCTCATTCACCTAAGGACGTTGAAGAACAACAGACATCACTTAAGTCGAGCAACAAAGAGTTCATTTCCCTCTTAAAGATGGAAATGCTTTTTGTAAGTCATATCAGCGAAATTCCTATGCTAAAAGACAGCGCTAGATTCTTCGATGAAGTTTTAGTAAATCTTTTGTACCATAAAAGGCTCTTTCAGCAAGTAAAATTACTTTTATATCGTACTCTTTACATAGTTATACAACAACATCATAAGTATGCAGACCTTACCTAAGTCGGAGGTGGAGAGACTGATATCCAATAGACCCTCAGCTCAAAGATTCTTTAGATAGTTATACAACAACAATAACAACATACCCAGTGTAGTAACACAAAGTGGGGCTTGGGGAGGGTAGACTGTAGAGTATACATAGACCTTACTTCTATATCAGAGGTAGAGAGGCTGTTTCAGATAGACCCTCAGCTCAAGACTCTTTAGATACTTAATATAAAAGACAAATCATATTACCAGAGATTGAATGCTTACGTTTCGGGGTTGACTGTTGACTATATCAACAGCCTCCTGGTTGCTAAGATGTTCCCAGAGACCATCTGAACCAAATATGAGGAACTGATCTTTGGAAGTCAATCTGTGAATGAAAATTGATGGTTCCGCACTGAGGATCGGCTTGGAGAAGGATTCGGGCAATCTAAACTTTGCCAACAGGGGTGCCTGATTGAACTCTGCCCTCTTAAGATAGGCATCACCAATTGACTTTGAAACCTGTAAAAGAGGATAACAAAAGGAACATCAACTCTTATGCCACACACACTTCCATGACACCTCCAGTAATGGCAATTTCTTCCAAACCAGCATGCATAATGCAACCACTATTAGTCAAATCTTCACAGCTCCAACGAAAATTATCTCAAATCTCAATTTTTTTCAGGTATATAAGATAATAAATAAGCGACTTATATTACATAAAGAGTTGATCTCAGAGGACAACATAACTAACTTTTAGGTTGCTTACTTGCAAAGATAATTAACTCCTAAGCGGAGATTGATATTATAGCAATAGTCTCTACTCATAACAATCACATCAGAACTAGTAATTACTAAACAAATTTCTTTCTATTCGGAATGGTGCTTGGATAAAGCTCCAATGTTAGCTGCAATTTGTTTTCTAGGTTGTACACCTTCAGAGTAACTTATATGAGGCATATTTTTGGAAAATCAACATGAGATGGCCTAAACATGTGATGTTAACAGAAAATCACCTGTATGATACCCTTCACGCGCCAAACTTTGTGTTTGAGAAGCACAATCTGTGAATCCTGGGGATGCAATGATCTAAGCTCATCTCTCACAGACTCATTATTAGCATTGTGCTCCACTGACAATTGAATAGCTGTCACGCCCCTTGAAGCTTTTTCTGTTCTACCTAACACCACACGCGAATCTCCGGCATTGGCAATATATAGTAGTCCATTGCAGATTACACCAACCAAACAACAAGATCCCACTGATGCAAGTTGTGGCTTCTCAAACCATTGTTGCTTCACAAGAGACAAAAACTCCTCATCCGTTTTCAAGAAAGCTTTTTTTATGACATCTGCAGATATTTCTTGATGCTCAGTTGCAAATTCTGTCAATGAAGGTAAATAGAAGAGTTACTATCGTTTGTACTACTCAAAAACTTTCCAAAATATGAAACAGATCAATATGAGTTCCAGGAAAAAATTATCAACATTTTTGGAGGATAATTAGATTTTTTCGACAGAGTTTCAGGGTGAATGACACACATAGTAGTAAGGTTGAAAGCACAAAAGTGTTAAAGAGATTCAGATCATGATACTTCAAAAAACATATGGTATTTAGATATGGCACACCATTTATATATCTTCCTCGAGTGTGCTTCTACTGGAGTGTTATTGCATGTATCAAAAGCTTAAGTCATTCTAAGATTTCTATTCAGAGAAGAAAATAGCATGCTGAGATGTTCAAATCTGACGACAGTTGCGTTTACATAACTAATAGAAGTGACAAACCAGATCTTTATATCTTAAAATTTTATCTAACGTGCCAAATAGACAACAGAATTGTAAGATACTTGGTGTATTCATGGTGGTAGTAAAGCAATATCGTGTATAAATACTATAAGTTTGACAAAATACCCTGAAAGTTCTGTCTATAAAGTAGAATCACAAGGCAAAATTCAGCAAAATCTTAGTAATAACCACATGTAGACACATCAAACATTGTGGAAGGCATCATTTTAGACGGCAGGGGCCATAGCAAGATGGATGTACTTATCTGTATCGAAAGTTGGCCAGATTTTTTGGGATCTTAATGTATATTGATATACCCTTTTTGTAAAGTTAGAACATTCTTGGTTCATTATCAATGAAACACTAGACTTGCAACAAAAATTGCAAATAGCACAATATATAAAGTCTAAAGATCAGATCTACCAACCTGAATCATTTTTAGTATTTATGTCAAAACTTAACCAGCATTGGCATTCACAGCTTTAAAAAATACACTTTCAAAACTACGACATTACCACGATATCAAGAATCATATTAATAATAATAATAAGCATCTATGCAATCTAAAGGGAACATGATAAGCTTACTCTTAAGATTGGAGAACAAAGTCTTGTTTACGAAACAGGACGTCTCCGGTCCTCCATGTCCATCATAAACTCCAACAAATGTTCCATAAGGACCTGATTCAAGAGAACTCAATGGACCTGATTCAAGCTGGCTCTGATCCTCCATCAAACTATTAGCTTGTATTATTGCCATTGAAAATTCTCCATTTACATGAACCCCCAAATCCTTATACCACATTAAACCATCAACCCTACCCCTAGTATCCCCACCCCTCCCTGCACCACCATCCCCCTCAACAGAAGGTTTCCAGCAAGGTTTAACCATTCTTTTTTTTTTTGTATACAATTTCAATATATATATATATATATATCATATAAACCTATATTTATCCAAGAATCTTGATAAAGTTTGAATCTTTTTACATAATTTATCCAAAAGAACCAGCAAACAATACATTCATCAAAACCCCCAACCCTAACCTCAAATCCAGTTTTTGCTTATGTTCAAAACCCACAACCCCACAAGCACAACAAGGGCAAGACACCATTAATATGTAACAAATCTGCAAATGGAGGTAAAAAAGACCAAAAGGGTATGGGCAAAACTTTTGTCCCCAAAAACAAGAAAACAATAGTTTTTATGTGAGTTCAGAGAATATGGTGACAGTGGGTGTTCTTTGCATACCTTGAACCTGGTTTCTTTCAATTTTTCTTGGTGGACCTTAAACATAAATATTATTGTATCAAATTTCAACTACAAGCTTAGCTGTGAAAACCCATAAAAGATTGATGGTGACAGAGTTTGTTCCTGATCAGAGGGATCAAACAGGGAATGGATAACAAAAAATAAAAATTGGGTTTTTTTTTGTTTTTGTTTTGGAACTTCTTGATCAGAGGATCTTTAGGAAGGGTGTCAGAGAGAGATCTCAGATTATGATCATACACAAAGACAAAAAATTTAGGGCAAGAAAAATCTTTTATATAGGTTGTTTGCTGTCAACTTTTTTTTTTTTTTTTTTTGGAAAATTTTTTTTTACCTCCTTATTTTATCAAACAGGGAATGGATAACAAAAAATAAAAATTGGGTTTTTTTTTGTTTTTGTTTTGGAACTTCTTGATCAGAGGATCTTTAGGAAGGGTGTCAGAGAGAGATCTCAGATTATGATCATACACAAAGACAAAAAATTTAGGGCAAGAAAAATCTTTTATATAGGTTGTTTGCTGTCAACTTTTTTTTTTTTTTTTTTTTAGAAAATATTTTTTATACTCCTATTTTCTCTCATTTATTGCCTTTCTAGGCCTTTCTTTTTCTTTTCTTTTTTCAAAAAAAAAAATAATTCAATCATTTATTGCCTTTCTAGGCCTTTCTTTTTCTTTTTTTTTTTTCAAAAAAAATAATAATTCAAAAACTCAATCTAATAATAAGTATATATGGCTTATTCGTTACTGTATTTGCTATAAATATGTATTTTTGATATGTTTTATTTGAATTGATAGTCGTTTTATTACCATAAAATAGAGATAAGATTGTATATACATTATTTTTATCTTATTTGTGATATTATTTTAGATACGTATTGTTTGTTGACAATTTTTATTTTGTTCATCTTTTCCAAATATTTTTATAGCAAAGCCCCCTCCTATTTTTCTCTCATTTATTCTCTTTCAAAGGTCCTAATTGTGATCATGTTGCTTTCTAGGCCTTTCTTCTTCTTCTTTTTTTAAAGAATTTTTTTAAAAATAAATCAAGAACTCCATTTAATAGTATGTATGATTTGTTATTGTAATTGCTGTAAATATTTATTTGTAATATGTTTTATTTGAGTGGATTGTTAATCTACTTTCACAAAATAACGATAAGATTGCATATACACAATTTTTATCTTAATTATAAAATTATATTAAATATCTATTGTTTGCTGATAATTTTTATTTATTTTTTTTCAAACTTTTATAGCAAACTCCTCCTCCTATTTTCTCTCATTTATTCTCTTTCAAGTCCTAATTATGGTCATGTTGCTTTCTAGGTCTTTCTATTTTGAAAAAAATAATTAAAAAATCAAGAACTCTATCCAATAATAAGTATATATGACTTATTTATTATTGAATTACATGTTTGTTTTTTATAAATCATACGCACCGTCTTCACTCTACTTGTGGAATTAAATTAAATGTGTTATTGTTGTCACATATATACATATACTAATTTTGAGATTGAAATGTAGTTAATGGTATTTTTGGAAGAAATTTTCAGTTATAGCAATAATATATTCAATGTAATTTCATAAGTGGAGTTTGAGAATGATAGAAAATACACAAACCTTAGCCCCACCTTTGTAGCTTAAAATATTATTTTCAATAGAACCTCAACTAAAAAAAAAGAATGTTCTTAACACAAAATTGCAAGAAAAATCTAACAATAAAATAACAAGATGCAAATACATGAACCAAGAAATAGTATTACATATTTTTTTTTAAAAATAAGAAACTATGCAATTACACATTAAAGAAATTTTCATCATCTTTAATATTCTCAACCCATGTTTTTTTATTATGCAAAAATATATAATTATAACTAAGTATAAGTATTGGAATAAAAAATGTATACAATTTTAGCTAAAATAATGGAGTTTCATTTGTGTATTTTCTTTTAAAAAATATAGTCACTATTTATATATA